CTCAATCCTCTCATCCAGATCATTGATAATGTAGAAATGCTTAGTAGACCCTGGTCATGCAGATGGGGTTGTCTCTGTATTTGCTTTTAATCTCATTACAGATGCCACAATCACTAACTTTTCCTTTTGGATGTTTGTTTGTTGCAGGGTCCTCCTGGTCCACCAGGTCTCCAGGGTCCTGTTGGTGCCCCTGGTATAGCTGTAAGTAGCTTATTCAGAGCAAATCCCAATCTTCCATAACTCATCTGATGCTTAGAAGTTCTTTGAACTGCATGATCCTTACTCAGGAATGTAATTCAAATCACTATTAACAGTTCTGTCATTGTTCCTGTACATGCAGGTTTTCTTTTTTTATTTGTAAGCAAACCTACACGTGTTATTTTATTGCAGATTTACAATAGGTCAATAATTTGAAGGAATTATTAAAAATGAAGTAGTGTAAATAGTGAATGGGGCCCAACCTGTCAGTGAACTTGTTTGATGGTTTGTATGACAGTGGTAAAATCAGCTCAGTACCAGATGCGTTTAAAAGAGAGTATCTCTCTTCAAAATCCACCTGATATTAGGTGAATTGGCCTCTGGTTTTATTTAAGAGGCTTTGAGTTCTTCTACCATGAAATCTGATAGAACTGTAAGCTGTTCAAATTTAGTAATATGTAGGTATTCAACAGCTAGAATCTATCTGCAGATATGAAAGAGGAGAGGTATTCAGGGAAAATTTTTTGAGACATGCAGTAGTTGGCCTACGTGAAGCCTGGTATTCTATTTGTATAATGGATTTCATTCAATCAAGGTGGTGGATATGCATTTGTAAAGACATTAGGAGTGATTCTTGTAGTTGTTTTCCAGGAGCTTTTCCTTGGAACATTTTCTGTTATTATCAGACTTGTGATATTTTTGCTTTTTGCTGTTTCCAAATAGGGAGGTGATGGAGAGCCAGGCCCAAGAGGTCAGCAAGGGATGTTTGGGCAAAAAGGTGACGAAGGTCCTCGAGGCTTCCCTGGCCCTCCTGGCCCTATTGGCTTACAGGTAAATTCCTTTATTATTTTACTCTCCATCTTGTAAGAACCTTGATTTCTGTGTCAGAAACTATTTTCTTCTATTAAAGAAATGATAGAGTCAGTGAATAAGAATTGAAAGATCCCCTGTTCATAAAGTTCATGTATAAATAGCAGATTCAGTGCTGAAGGAGATTAGTAGGATGCTCTGAAACTGATTTTTTTCTTTAAAATGTGTATCTCTAGTAAAAAGAAGTGCTCTTTTTAAAACACAAATATTGGACTTTATAAATGAATTAATTAGTGAATAAAATTCCAAAGCCAATGGTAGCCAGGGGTTCAATCTGGAGGCATATTTAACATGTCCTAGTCATTTACTGTATTTTCACAATAGGTTTTTGCAACACAGTGTTTTTCTCAGTGATACCATCACACACATTGCTTGTGTTCTGAAAGATTAGCAGAACACCCCACCTGGGGTCTGAATAATGATGGCAGTGTTTTTAAAGTCAGCCACTCTAGCACTTCTGTGTTTGGTTTTTTTTTTTCCAAAAATTTTCTGCCTTACCCTAAGTTTAAGCATCGTAGGACTACCTATACATTTGCTGTAATATAAAAACTCCTTTTTTATGCAAATAGGTTTTATTTTCCTCTTCCCCCCCAACAAGTTCCCAAGTTTCACGTGTAGATCCAATTTCTATTGTTTCATATGGACTTATACCTCATTATTCCAGGTATCCTACTAATAGTTTATTTTTCTCCTCCCTGTGTTTTAGGGTCTGCCTGGCCCACCAGGTGAAAAGGGTGAAAATGGCGATGTGGGCCCAATGGTAAGACTTCTTCCCCGTTGATCACTCTGGAGGATATGAAATATCATTCATGTATTATTGTCTTTTCTCTGTAGCTCGCTATTTGATAAGCTATTCCTGAATTTGGTGCCTGAGTATGAACTATTTTGTGTAACATAAACTCCCTCTGGGATTTACGTTGCTTTCCCACATCTGCCTCCTCATCTTTAATATCAAGATTTATTTAACTTAAGAAAATACCCTGAAGAGTAAGTAGGTAGCAAAGCAGATGCTACGTGTGTCTGAGACAGGACAGTGGCAAGCAGGTTCAGGAAAGAAAGAGAAATAGGAGAGACCACTGCATCAGAGTTTGGAGCTGCTTTTCTGAAATTCAGGGGCATTGTACCTTAGCTTCAGGTAACTGCAGGCCAGAAGATGGTAAACACCATTTGGCTATCTGTACTGTTTCTCTCGGTGATCTTGAGATTACATTTTCCAACTGTGCATACTGTTGACAGAATGCCTTCTGGGCTGCTCCTGACTGAAATGCAAACTATCTACAGTATAAATTTGCCTCCAACACCCTGTGCCAAGCCTGGATGCTTTATTATTGGCCATCTGCAGGCACCATGGGGCAGTACTGTCACATAGCTTTTACCAGACATACAAGCTACTCCAGGGTCTTTGCACGGTGGAATGGTTATGCAGGTAACCTGCAGGGAAATTACAGTGCAGGAAAACAATCCTCAGGAGTCCTAAGCATCAGATCTTTTCCAGCTCAGGTACTGTATAACATAGCCTGGATCGATCCCCTGTCACCTTGTGAATTCATGCAATGGGCAACAATCTGGCCCTGCTGTTTCTTTAGCACTAGAAAGATTTAAAGTCCTTTTCAGATTGAGAATATTCTTTTTCATTTTCCAAAAAAAGCCCAACTGGACTTATTCTTTATGATTTTAACTATATAAAACTGTCTCTTTGATACAGGGTCCACCTGGCCCTCCAGGTCCAAGAGGTCCCCAAGGTCCTAATGGAGCTGATGTAAGAATCAACCTGTATGTTTTTTGTCTCAATAACTCAGTAACAGCACTGTATTTGGGATAACTAACATCTTTTATCATTGTAGGGTCCTCAAGGCCCTCCAGGCTCAATTGGCTCTGTTGGAGGTGTTGGTGAAAAGGTAAGTGTTGATAATAACTTCCTAGAAAGAGAAAACCTTGAAATAGGAATATGTATATATATGTTTATTATTCTTTGAAGCTATAGAGATATATTACAGTTCCCAAGTATCCCTCATCAACCTAGTAATTGTTAACAGTGATCTAGCTGTACTCCTAATGGCTGACTTATCACAGTCGGTCTTTTTATTTCACATTTTACATCACAAAAATATTGAACAATCAGAGGAATGAGCTTTGAAGCAGAAAAGAGAGTTTTCAAGTGAAGGGTTAAAGTAAGGTTATGGTTATTCTTTTAACTACATAGTTTGATGCCTACAGTAACATTATTGTCTACCAGTGTTTTTCATTTTAATACTGGTGTAGCTTAGAATGTCATCTAGCCCTCTATCTGGAATATTAAGAATATAAGCTATTATCTAATGTATCATTGGCAAACATATCTATGAGGTGAAGCAGACCTGAAGCATCAATCAATATCATCTGTTCCTCATACAGATAGATACAGTTCCAATAAACCCAAAGGTTTGAGGATGATTTGTGCAAATTGAAAACCTGACTTAGGACTGATGCTATATTACATTCATTCATGAAAATTACTTTCATCACTATTTTAAGTTCTCTATTTAGAAATTTTTCTACCAGTATATGAAGTGGGTTTTTGTTTTTTAATTTCATGTCTTACCTAAAGAACATGTCAGATATATCTTCCATTTTCTTAAAGGAAAGATATTGCATGCAATAGATGTAATGGCTTTTTCATGTGGTTTATTTGAATCACCAGTGTTAACTATTATAAGATGAGCAAACAAAGAATTCAGGAGAGAATCTCTTGAAATTCCCATTTATGTTTATTTTACCAAGTTAGATGACCTCAGCCATAGCATACTTGTAAGCCCACAAGCATTTTGCTGTAATGTTACAGATGTAGTATGGTTTTTTTGTTTAACTTTGGATTTGGAAAGAAGATTCTGAAAGGAGCACAAGGTGAAGGAAACAGAATAGAAGTGTATTCCATGCCACTGTATAAATAACATATTGAGAAACTATGTAGACTGCTCTTGAGTATTTAAATATTTGCTGCAGAATATCATATGTATTCAATGGAACACTGATGTCAATGAATCCTAGAAAAGACATCCCTAAGAATGTCAGTATTGGTAGTTTTTCAGAAAGGTCATGGTATTGATAACTTTTCAGAATATGAAGCAAGTTTTCCCTTTTTATTCTTGTCCCATCAGATAGTTAAATGTACCTTATTTACCTGCATAGGTACCTTTTCCCTCATCTTCCTCATACATCATTATTGAACTTCAGCTCTTCAGAAGTCTTAATTTCTGCTTCCTTTCATTTAGCCACATATTCTCTCTGACACAGTGTACCAGTATTGTACCTTTAGGTATAAATATATCAGATCTATGAGTTTAAAAGTAATGACTCAAGTACCAGGTTAATCAAAATCACTTTTATTTCTTGTGATTCTCTCTTTGATCACTGTCCAAAAGCATGTCACTCTGCTTCACAGAGCTTTTAGATACTCTTTCTTTTCACAAGATAAGGAAGATGCCATTGTTTTGCCAGGATCATTTACATTAATAATAATAATAACAACAACAACAACAACCACCCTGCAGTTCACCCTACAGTATCTCACAAGCTTCTTGTTCCCCTGTGATAACAAAAGATGTTTTTAATGATCCTTTTCAATATTGTTGACATCCACTATAAAATGTTGATTGTATGTCTATTTTTTCACTAAAATATCTTTTCTTTAAATAACCCTTCAGTTATATTAGGGCCATGTCAAAAGGAATCACCAGCTTCTTGTCAGTATGATGAAACTATTCTTTTAATAGAATCTCCAAATGTTTCATGATTTTTCCTACATGCCCATCAAACAAATCACTTACCAGTGCTCTAGGATATGGTGAAGAGAGGACTGGAATAATGTAGTATAATATATGGTGTGATGAAAAATATCCTACTTTGTTTTCCTTCTTTGACTTTTAAGATCAAAGGGTACTGAGCCCAAGCAGATGAAAATATTATCCTTGTACTGTAGTTTTTTCATGGTAGCACTGTCATGTCTTAAGCTGACAGCGCTTCATTGCACTCCCTGTTTCTCAGGATGTGGCTCTGAGCATCAACTCATCTCTTGGTAGCAGTGGCATTCTTTTGTCTTCAGTCTTTTTTACCCCAAATTCCATGAGACACACATAACATGACGCTCTCCTGCTTCACTGCATTATTAATAACGATATTCCCTCTAAGTGCCAAAGTTTGTGACATTGTTCCTCCAGACTATCTTAAAAGAAAGCTTGGCCTCATGAAGAGCTGAGGGATTTGTTTTTCTCTCTGGGAAGAGTACCAAAAATGTGTCTGAATGCAAGAACCGGTAGAGATGGCAAAAACATTACTGGAAAAAGAGATTGTATATCAGTGGAATACAGAAAAAAATGGGCACTGTGGGCAGAAAAATTCTTCCTGTGACCACCATGGTACTGAGAAAAACGTTGATTGTAAGAACACTACATCCAGGGTAGCACCTATTATATTCACTGCTTTGAAAAAACCCACCTTGTATAATATTATGGTCCATTGAAGTTAATAGGAATTTTGCCATTGGATTCAATCACCTCTTTATTTTTTACTGTTTCATGGTCAAATTATAGTCCACTCATTTTCTAAAAACACGGACTTACATTGAACTCCTTAATCCTTTGTTTCTCCCTGTGACTCTTCTATGTGATTCAGAATCCCTATTTGTGATAATCAGCCCACCAAATTTAATTCAAGCACATTAAATTCAGACTGTTTATCACTAGTTGTCATTTTTATTTCCTCTTGCTTATTTCCTGTATTCTCTGCCTTCACACAGAGAAGCTTCCAAGTCTATTATTTCAGAAGTTTTTATTTCTTCTAATTACTTTCCTACTCCTCAAGTTTTAATACATGCCTGGTTTTTTCCTACTTAGGATACCTTCCTTCTTAATTTCGATTCCATTGAATGAGTTCTGCAAGCTTAGAAATCATAAAGAGTTGTTTTGTCAGGAGGAGCTCCCACAGTGGGAGGACAGTTCACACTCTAAAACATGCATTTTCTCTTTTCCTTTTCTTCCCACATGTTTTTTCCTAATGTTTTTCTTATTACATCAGCATGCTTTGGCCACTGCATCCCTTTCAGGAAATACGTACCATACTACAGATAATACAATGCAGTGCTGATTGTAAAGTGTGACTAAACATTTTGGTATCCTCCCTGTCACTGCTGGGCAGTGAAATAGATTTGCTCACTTTCATATTTGAATGGTTAGACTAGGAGATATTTTGTCATTAATACTGGGGATTCAAAGCCTGCCTATCCTCTGGCAAATTATAAACAATTTTTGACACATTTAGTGCCATGTATTTTTAACTACCTTGTTTCCTCTGCCACAAGCACAAAGGCCTAAATGTTCAAAGACCTCTGTGGTACAAATGTGCATGTAGCTTTCCATTATTAATGCCTGTAGCCTCCCTGGAGCAGTCTGGAAGTCTTGAGACTTACGCTTAACTAGAACCACTGAAATTCAGATTCCACCCTGAGATTATTCTCTTTGTTGTGCTTATAATTAAGAAAAAGTGGAAAATCAAAATGTACCAACACATGCTTATCTCTAATTTGATATCAAAAGCCTAACACACAGATATTCTAAATATCCAGTAAGTTGCTCACAACTTCTAAAAACTTATTTTACAACATCTAAGAATTTACAGCACAGAGAGGAAAATAAACAAGTAACATTAACCTCACACTTCTGTTCCATAAAACCTAACAAAATAAATCTGCCTTTCTAATTAAGGTTAATCTGTGATAACTGCACAGTAGTGCACCCCTTCTCCCACACCATGCGTTAAACTGGCAGAGTCAATGAGTAATGCAAAATGAATGCCTGCAGAATTAAAGCGTTCCTTCGGTAGCCTCTCAGGGTTTAGATCTGTTTTACTGTATGAAATCTGTTTTTTACTGTATGAAGCCTGATGTTAGAAAACCACTACACTCATCTGAGTTTATACTCTTTCCTATTCTATCATTCTAAAATAATTTTTAAAATAGTACACTAATAGGGAGTCCCATACAGTAAACAAGTGAAATCAATAACGTACATGTTTAATCAGTCACTGATTTATACTGCATACAGAAGTAAGAGGACAGAATCAATTGAGTATTCTGACCCTAAGTTTAAAAGCATGTCTGATAAGTTTGCACAGACATCTTTGTGTGCCTGTCATTTTTTCCACACACCTATGTGCAGACAATTGCTAAGGTACTTAATCAAGATGTGTCTATGACAGTTTATGCTACCTGAATATCTGGCCTGAAAAACTGCTTCTAATAACTTTACGTGACTCACTGACTGTGATCTCTTCCTATTCTTCTCCATCTCTTCAACATGCTTGTAAACATAAGCCATCCCAGAAAATATAGTACAACTTTAGAATTTCTCTCGATTAAATTTAGCTTTCTCTTTTCTGTTTGTTTTTTTTTTTTGTCTATTTTGTGAGGATGGCAAAAAGGAACAGAAGTGTAACTGAATCCTTTTCACAACTCAGTCAGTTCCAAAGTTGCCTCTTTCTTACACAATAAATCACCATGTCGCAGAATTTAACCAAAGGGTGGCAGCCTCCCATCCACTATCTCTTTTTTTATGCTTTGTATGGACAGTTCTCTAGAACTGGTCATAAGGAAAACAAAGGACTTACTTTGAAACTACTGTCCTTAGCCTGATAGAAATCATTCTGCTGCTTAATCCAAGGAGGTTTTCAGAATTAAACATGTCTGTGAAATGACATGACTCTTTGTAGTTTAAAATGTCTGTCTTTGCTTGTTGAAATTCTGTCAGAGGAAAGCTTTGCCTAAGAAAGAGTACACTCACTTTTAAAAGATCTGACCTGATAACAAAGCAGGGGGAAAATCCCAGAGGTGGAATAAATCTATCATTAGATTATAAAATCTATTTCCCAAAAGAACATGAGATATTTCCCATGGAGAAGATGCATCAGATTCTGAATTGATACCATCCTTACCAAAAATGCAAAGACAGACAAGGGCAATCAATAACCTATAGATTGCACAGTTTTTAGTAGCTATAAATATGCATTCTGTAAATATATATTGGCTATAATCTTCTCCATCAAAAAATTGTTTAAGTCCCTTAACAGCTGTCTAAAACAAGTACAGCCTTTCATAGTACCTAATATTTGGAATATAAAAATTAGTGTCAGAAGAAACAAGGACTGCATACAGGGAAGAGTCACATTTTTTAATAGAGCAATGACTTTGAAGTGTTAATGTGAGATGAAACTTTAACTGGTCTCATCTTTCACAGATGTCCTTTAAGGGGAACATCTTGACATTTTCTAGCCCTTCTAACTTTGCCATCTTCCACACCGTTGCTTATTGGGGAGTTACTATGCACAGTGCTCATATAGGCTGCCTGCATCTGCCAGTTTCAACATATGTGATGTAGCAGGGACCCCTGAGCTCCCAGGAGCACCGTGTTCCCCTGTTGTCCCCATGTATAGGTCAATATGCCAGAGAAAGCTCCCCTTTTCTCTTGTTGCGTGATAGTATAACTTGGAGGTGTGTTTGTCAGTGGGAAGGGTAAAGTGGATTACAAATCAAGTATGAAACATCATAAGTTACAATATCATTTGGCAGCAAGGCAGAAAAACAATTTACTCTCTGAGAAGCTTAGAAGGGGATTATACTGGCACAAGTGCTTGTCAGGCAAGACTTGGCACAATTAGTGCTCTCCTGTCACTCAATCCTGCAATGAGGACACCTGTTGAAACAGTCTATATTGTGGACTCAGTTAGATATAACTACCAACTTGAATAACATTAATTGTTCGCTAATTCCAGATCTTATTCTCTGTGGCTACATAAATCTAAGTAGTCATGGACAAAAAAAATACTAATGACGTTGCAGATTCAGTAAACCCCATGCAGAGGATAAGGAAATTAAGATTGTTAATTTTCCCAGAAAAAAATATTTAATTCTTATTGACCTGAAGTATCCACTAGATTTTTGTTTGGTTTTTTTTTTAAAATAGTGAGTGCTGTATCACAGAACCAAATTAAGTACTGAAAGGGATCATTAATTTTTAAGACTACTGCAAATTTAAGTATGTCTAATAGGACATAGTACAGTTTCTAAAGGCAAATTCACCTTTTAAAAGTGCCCTTTCTAAAGGGCATTTTAATATTGCTCCTAAAATTGTGGTTATCTGTTAATTATCCTATTCCAGAATTCACTTGGGTACTCGGATCTGCCTCCATTCATCTAACATGATATTTACATTGGGCCAAATTCTCGTCCCAGTGTGCTCATCGTGCTGCCATTAGCTTCTACAAAAAAGAGCTCAGTACCTACACCATAAGATTTGTTCAAAATTTATATTTTATGATTTATACTTTTATACTGTCTGTGTGGAAATGACGGGCATGCATGTTGTGTTAATTGAATTGTCATAGAATGAAATGGGGCGTGCAGGTCATACAGGATATGAAGGATACACAAATCTATTCCAAACCTGGGTTTGAGTTCAGTAGAGAGGATTGGGTGAAATGCATTTTCATTACTGAAGTACTCCTGTTTATAGGCATAATTATTGTCAGTGTTCATTTGGTTTGGAAAAAGAATATATATGTGGAAAAAAAATCCCTGCATTAGCAGTTACATTGAGAAATCCTTTGGAATAAAAACCTATAGTTCTTATCTCAGCACTCCATGGCAACCACAAAGCAGATTCTGTTATGCTTTCACAGATTTGTGTGTCTGAGATGCTAATAGCTAAATGTTCTACTAAGAGAGTAGTTTTCTATAAAGGTTTATTTATCAGACCACTGAGCTAGAAAATAATCAGTCATAACTAAACTTTAAAATGAGCAATTGCAAAGACAGTATTAATATACAGTACTAGCTCAAAAAGAGACTGAATTAACTTAAACATTCATGTAATAGAGTATTATCTGTGACTTGCACAGATTTTCTCTATATAGTGTCATCCTCAAAGCCATCTGCTTTACTAAACAATTTCCATCATCATTATTTCATCTTATTTCATACTTAGGTTTTTCTTTATATTTACTTTATTCTAACCATATCTATAGCAGTAATATCTTCTTCACTCCATTGACATTCATTGCCAATTAATATTCTCTTACTTGTAGAAACTTGCCTCCAGGCAAAATGTATCTTCTAGCAAAAAACCCATACACAGACAATACACTTCTTTGTCATTTCTGGGACTAGAAAGAAAGATGACAAACAGGAAATTTGCAATATATGGGATAATAAAGGGGAAGATCTTCCAAAGCCCAAAGGGAAGGTTAGTCCTCCTGGCTTGCAAGAGCTTTGTTTGATGTAATCTCTAAACTTTCAGATTCCAGTTCTGCAAAGCCATATGTAACTCAACCCCCTTTAAGCAGACCTAATAAAAGACAGCTCTTTTAAGCTGTTCACATGAATAAGAATATATAATAACCAAGTAAATTCATAGAAATTTTCTCCCTAATGACTCATCAATTTATCCTCACACATTTATAGGGTGAACCTGGAGAAGCTGGTAACCCTGGACCACCTGGAGAATCTGGAACATCTGTGAGTATTTAGGTTTTGTTTTATTATTAGCCTATCTATGGTAAACTAAGGTATCTGGGAGTGCTTACTTTAGAAAACATTTAATCAGATTACTTGTGTACTTATGTATGTTTTATTTAAATTTTCAGTGAAAGACTTGTACCTTTAAAATGTGATTTGTTTCCACATAATTACAGCAACATCTTGTACTAACAGCTGGAGGACAAGGATGAAGACTTCCTAACAGACTACCTATTTTTGCTTCCAAAAGTGTTTACTTTGACATGCATGTTTTTCTCTCTGAAGACAATTCATTGATGCAAACTGGGTGCAGATGTTGGCACTCAACCTGAGCTACACAGGTTTTCCAATCTGAGGCTGAGGTCTCAATTTCCCATTCACGTGCCAGCATTTACTGAGCAGTAACATTGCCCAGGTCTGAAAAACAGTTTTGCCATTGTAATCTTTTTTCAGTCATTCAATTTCTAGATGACATTTGTGTGTTTGTATGTTTTCTACAGGGTCCAAAAGGTGAAAGAGGAGAAAAAGGTGAGGCTGGTCCACCTGGAGCAGCTGGACCACCAGGTGCTAAAGGACCTCCAGGTGATGATGGGCCTAAGGGTAACCCAGTAAGTGAGCTTTATAATTTTAACACAAAGCACCACGAAACACTGCTGAGGTTGTGCTACATATAGAACTGTATATAAATTTCTACATTTGAACTAAATTCATTTTATGCTTCATAATACATTTTTGATGATTGGTACCTGCTTGTCAATGGATGACATGTTCCTTGCTTTTTTCCTGACTTATCTAGGGCCCAGTTGGTTTTCCTGGAGATCCTGGTCCCCCTGGGGAACCTGGTCCAGCTGTAAGTATACTTAAAACCCAGTTTTAGGTCCTACTCTTGGTTTGCACTACATTCTAGTTAACTCTACCTCTTCCTTGTCTGGGGATGAGGTCTCACCTGTAAGATCTGTTGCTTTTCTGTTCATGTGTTACTTAAGACTTAAAAAAGGTTTAGAAATCTTGAAAAAGTTTTGAAAACTAGTGTCCTTAGGAAAATGCTCTGTAGAAAAATACTGCTCCAATGTTCATATATGAAACTAAGTTACTTAATTTAGCTGTATTTTCTATTTTGTTTATTTCCCTGTGACTTCTGTAGGGTCAAGATGGTGTTGGTGGAGAGAAGGGTGAAGATGGTGATCCTGGTCAACCTGTGAGTTGTTTCGGACATTTTACTTTAGCTGCTCTCCTCTGCTAAGAAAGTATCTTTTGCTAAATCAGTGCTTTCTATACATTCATACTCAAAAATATTTTCTAAGTGGATGTTTTTTCTATTATACTAAAAAATATCTATTTATTTCCTTGCAGAGATAGAACTGTCCATATTATAGTCACAATCAGAAGCAAGAGATCAGTTTCTTTGAGACGTAGAAACAAATGATGTGTTAAAGATTTGTGCTGGAGCTGTTGAGGAGCACTAAAAATAGAGCAATTCTGAGCATAAGAAAGGAATGCTGCAGCCAGATAATTTTCATTAGCTGGCCTGATGAAATGAAGGAAAATCTTGATGTTTGTGCTTTAAGAAAGTTAAGGAGCATCTGACCAGTACCCACATTAAGCATCAAAGTTCTCATATTTCTGTAGATGCCTATATTAAAACATCATTAATTTAACTTTTTACTGCAAAAATATAGGGTTTCCATTTTGGATAGTCTCTGTCTAGCTCTGGAAGCTCTAATTATCAAGAAGTTATCGTATACAGTACTGTTGGAAAATACAAGAAATGCTAGTACATTGAACATATTGTCAAGAAGTTATAAACCGGGGTTTACCTGTAAACTTTTAGTACTTTTAGAGTGTTTATCAAACTGTTCAGCAAACCTGAAATATTTAAGATTATCACAGTTTACCAAGATGGAGTAGCCAAATGGCTATCAAGTGCACAAAAGATTTTTCAAGCAAGTCACCTATGGGGCAGCTAACTCACAGCCGTTAGTGAAAAATGTTAGCAAAAGTAATGACTTCAGCACAAAAGAAAGCAAGAAACTTCTTAATGGATTTAGACCGTAGTCTATGAATGTATGTTACTTCTGTGCAGCCACTTTCTGGTCTGAAATGTTTTGTTGAAAACAGGAAGAGAAAAAAAGAATGGCTGCATTTTGTACAGCTGTTAAAAAGATTCAGATGACCACCCTAAGATAGAATTTGTTGAATAAAAACGTGTACTTCTGTGTGTATTTATGGTACTTACTTTTTCTCCACTGAAAGGGGGCCAACATATTGCAGATGTTTATTGCATTTAATAAAGATAATAACTTTATCTCTGTACCACTGAGGTTATCATTTTCCATTGCAGGGTCCACCAGGTCCTTCAGGTGAAGCTGGCCCACCTGGTCCACCTGGAAAAAGAGTAAGTAATCTCTCATTTTCTCTCATACATGTCCCTTTGTGAGACATTATGTTCTAGAGAATTTCAGTTACTTGTTTTCCATGTTGTGACACTCATATACGATGTTTGAAATTCCTTTTAAGTAATGTAATAGGAGAAATGAAAAAACAGAAACAGCAGATAAAACCCTTTATCATGTGTTACATGGAACATAGGAACAAAAATACATAGGGAAGAATGTATTGTTTATCTATAAATGCACTTTTTCTTTTCAACCAAGTGAATTCAGTATCTGCTAGGGTAAGAATTCAGTGTGTGCTGAATTAGTCTTCTAATAGGAGTGAGTGATTATGAGAATAATGCAAGACATCATCCTTAGGCTCATGACTGCTGGCAGGGAGCAGGATGAATGTGTCTGCTTTGGTGTCTTTAGCCTCTGAAATAAAATAATTTCAGTGCAGCTTTTGTGCAAACCTGTGTCATCCCCTCTGCACACAAAATTAACAAGCAGCAACTTGCCATAATGAGCTGTAACTTTTGAAGCCATTCCATTATTTCTGAATTCTCTAAAGCTTCACAGGCTTTACAAATTTAGCTAATCAAAACCACTAAGTAATGTTACACTTACAGAACTGTAGTAGATGCATCAATGTTTAGGTCTGCTTTAGAGAGCAATTAGATGCAGTTTTTGCACTTTAAAAAACAAGGGAGGGGGCATCATTGAATGTACCCTGAGAGCTATTTAACAAAATGTGTTAAATTGCTCTGTTTAATAGGCTTGAGTAAACTGACATGCCTAATTAGTTTTATCTATTTTGCACAATAATATATTTTCTCCACCGACCTGCAAAACATTTATAATACTGTAAATGATTATGGTAACATTAGCAACCTTATCACTAGAACTGAAACATGGCTGGATTGAATGTTACAATTAGTTTGTTTGTTCGACATTAAATTAGAACTTCCTACTTTATTATACAGAAAGGCTGTAGCTCATTCCTCACAGATGGGATATATTGCAACTGGTCGTACCCAGACAAAAACACTTCAGAAACGCAAATACCACATCACTTGTGGTTGCACACATTTCCAATTTAGGGAAAATATATGGTTAAATATTGCCAAGAAATCCCATTCCTGAATTCTGAAGAAAACATTTTGTAGAATCAGATTCTACATTACTTCAGTACTTGAATGTTTCAAGCTTGTACAGAGTCTGTATTGTATTGATATTATACCTGATAGAAACAAGGAAGGGTTGAAAGCTTCACAGTTTGCTGGCAGAATGAATGCAAAAGAAATGCTCCTCAGTAGTTTTCATCATTTCTACAGTAGAATCAATTTCAACAAAAAGTCCTAAGAAATGTCCTTTCATCTGGATTAAGAAGGACTTATCATTTCAGTAGTAATACTGCTTTCTATGGAGGTGCAGCTCTGGCTAAACTACTAGAAAGCAACATTCTACCCCATTTTTTGTTTTTCTGTCTCTGAAAGAACACACTGGCAAAGCTCTCTTTTAAATCTAGTCCCTTGAACTCATCAACTGTACAGTCTCTTTATTTATTCTGTTATTCATTTTCATTCCCTTGAGCTCATCAACTGTACAGTCTCCTTATTTATTCTGTGATTCATTTTCATTCCCATCTTTCTTTCTATTCTGGAACTGACCTGAACCCAGTTTCACTACCTGGTCCTCTGAAATTATTACCAGGTTTCAGAGTTTTGAGCAATCCATGTTCAGTATTGCTGGTTACAAAGAGGTTCCCCCAGCTTTCCCTGGGAAGCAAATTTTAGTGAAAGACATGGACATAAATACAGTTTTCCCATTGTATCTCAGAGACTTCAGCTACAGATCCATACTTACAGTGACATTCAACTATCAAGTGAAGGCCAAGAGTAAACTGCTTTTCCCAGTTATTGATGGATAGCAGTAATAGGATTACTGTTATTTGGTGAGATAAGCAAATACCAAAACTGTTTTAATTTGGTGCTCTAAAGGCTTTGACAATAAGTATCAGAGCATAAGTACCAGCCTTGCAGACTGAGCAAGGTTCCCGTGGACCAGCAGTATGGTTTTAATACCACTTAGGAAGTACACAAAAAGCCTGTTCCAGATTCCTACAGTGAAGAGGTAAAATTGACTAGCATGCTAATGACCACTGAGCTCAAGTCTAAATCAAAATAAAAGGTTAAATCTATGGGTGAAAGAAAAATGGATCATTAGGGCATCCACAAAACATGTACCCTAATTAATATATTACTTTTCAGACCTAACAATTGCTCTTCCAAAAAATATTTCCACCGCTGCCTTTCAGTAGGTTCTAATACCATAGATACACTGGTCTCTCCCTTATAGAACTGGAACTATCTTCAGAAAGAAGCCCTATATGCAGATGAATGACTAGATTAAATATATAATTTTATAGGCCAAACCCATAATCTACAAAGTGTAAACCTTGTGACACATTGATACAGTCTCTCAAAGTGATCACATTTTTTTCTAATTTTCATTAAATCAGAATTAATATTTTACAAATCTTGGCTTCTGAAATGGTCTGTGCATGTACCAGACCAGATAAATGCATGCTCAGAAGGCTTTATGCATATACATAGTTATGGTGCAAGAGATCATAGTTACTGTGTGTGCAATTCTAGCATGGATTTGTGCATATACTGTTTGGGAAATTAGAGGTATGAATTCTGTTAAGGGAAACATATAGCTGAAGTGATTTTATCATTAACAAGTGGAAGGCCAGATTCTCTAGTTCAATGTGAGAGAGGGTCAATGCCCAAAGCACAACTGATGCAAAAATACAGTCATTGGGTCAGACTTTCAGGGACTAGTTTAGTATTGACTAAACTCTGTCTTTTAATTCAATGATAAAATGTCCTGTAGTGAAATAATAAAATAGTAATTCTTTTAAAGAGTATCTTGTCAATGAAGTAAAAGACTATGCTCAATATTTCCTATAGACAAGAATATAGATATATATATATATACACTCCTAGCTTTACTTGCATAGTCAAGCTAGGTTTTTATTCTGTATAAATTCTAACTTGGCTTATAACTTTTAATTAGATACTGTATTAACTGAAAAAATATAGTAAATTTTGGAAATATGTGGGGAAAACTTATTCCTCTTAGTTTAAAAAAAGCTGTCTTATACTTGATAAACCAAAAAAAAGATGTAGTTCTAAAATAAAATGAATGTACTCAGAAGCATTTGCTACTCTGTCTTAGGCAGAAGTAGTCAGCATATGGAATCCTGATAGCAGAATGTAAGAGTAGTGTAGAAGTAAAAGCATGTCATGATTGTTACTAAAGTAGAAAAGAAAATGAAATTATCAATTGCATAATATACATTATATATATGTATATATATGTTCTTTCACATATAGATGGGAAAACTTGAGGAACTGAACTACAGAATTTAGTGCTACAATTAGCACTCTAGCTAGTCAGTGCTAACAGGTCTGTATCATTCTGAAGAATGCTTAGTAGTAGTTAAAAATGTTTCCCAAAAATATATTCTTAAGTCATCAAAGCCTTACCATGCAAATGAAAGAACTTTTAAAGTAAACTTATACTACTTAAAGAAATCTCTTGCAGCTCTCACTGTAGGCTTTCCATCATCAAATCCCTTGACAAGTTCTCCACTGATGGAATCAGCCCAGATTCTCTAGAAAACTTGAGGCATTACATGTATGTATATTACACATACTGAGCTGAACAGACAAATAGTCTAGTACGGCTTTGGGACTAGGAACCCCATTTCTAACCCTTTTCCTATCATATGTGTATTAAATGTTTGTCATATTGCCCTCTGACCTTCTCTATCTGCAAAGAAAGAGAACAATTACATTTGTGAACCTCACAGAAGTACGTGGCTTCTGAAGTGTTCTTAAATGTTCTGAAGACAAAAACTCATTTATAAAGTTAACGTTATTGTTGGAGCAACATAAGACAACAAAAGACTTCACAGATTGCTATGGGCTTGTCAGTGACAGTTCTCAGCTTTACAGCTTTCCTTTTGCTGACCAATGACGTACTGTGCAGAGGCTGTGTTTCTGAAAGGGTGTAGTATTTTCCAGCTTCTCTTTCCAATGTAGGTGAGTTAGTTGTGATCAGTTGAAAGTGGACCACTTCAAAAGGCCTCTTGATCCAAAGCCTGCTTATCTAGAAATGCAGATGCAAAGACTGAACTACTCTACAGTTACTTGGTTACTTTTAGTTTCTGAAACTTAATTACTTACACATACTTCTGGATTTTTGTTTTGTTTTGTTCTGTTTTGTTTTGCCACAGAGTACTGGGTAACATCTCTAGTGTGAATTTATTGATTTCTATCTTACAAATGTTAAAAATAGCATGAGGAAAATACACTATTAACAACTTTCGTTCTTAAAGCAAATAACATATACAATACATAAAACCAACACAGGTAGTACTTCTTGGTTATGCTCCTCTCAGCCTTGCAGTGCTAGGCCCTTCAGCTGTGTTTTCTGCTGTTTGGCTGTTTTCTTTATTAGAGTCAATTAGACATCTAGATCACATACACATAAGGCTCCAGATATCAATCTAAAAATGTTAGAATTTAAAGTGCAAGATTAAGATAAATTTTTGTTCTCAACTGGAGGGCATACTGCCTGCTTTGAACAAAAAAGCAGATGTCAATACTGCAGCAAAGCCCATCTCTGAATTTTGAGAGTTTATTTGGTTAATGGCCTATATATACAATGTTGAATAACTTACTGAAAAAAGGAAGTGTTTCTACGAAGGAGATATCTTCCATTATGTCTACAGCATCATGCTGCCTCAGCTAGGCACACACACCACTTAAAAATTAAGCTAATTTTCTCTCTTGATTGCAAATGCACAGAACACCTAACAATACCCTAGGTTCCTGTCTTAACAGACTGATGAAATGTGGTCATGGTGCTCTGTGTTGGAAATCATGTTTTCAGTCAGATGACAGACAGCTATAAACAACAGTTTAAATTATTTTAATGAAATTATGAAATATGGAAGAGCAAAAATGTCCAGTACGTTCACATAACAAAAATTGAGGACAAGTTTGTTTCTATGTGAGTTCTTTTGTCTGCATTTTGTCTGCAGTTCTGCATAAAATATAGCAGGCAATCTGTCCAAACTTCAAATGTAATGATCATAAAAATCACTGTGGTAGCTTCGGTGGGGAGGGTGGGGAGCCATGCGTTAATTCAAAGTTATTGTTATTGAGTTCTCTTCTGTCAGTTGAAATTTACCAGACACTCCAACAACTCAAGTGTAGGAAGGTAAGATAAATAATAATTAGCAGTCTTTCTCTGTAGAAGCACCATCTGTGCCAAGCCCGCAATCACAGCCTGTTAGAAAGAGCCCTTTATTTGGCTGCTTTGCACTTGGTGCAGCATTGGCACTGTTTGATAATGAATGCACCCCCTTTGTTTAGCAATCATGATTCATTGTATTTGTAATTTAGCGATCACAGTGTCTTTAGCCCTCCTAATTCATGTTGCAGCTGTGTTTCTAGATTATGCAGAGACCATACTTCTCAAATACTAACTACCACACTAAACCATTTTCAGTTCCTTGGGTAGTGTAGATTATAATCCATATGGGACCTTGAGTGCAAGGAGTAAAGACAATGGGTGTGTAAATTAATTCATGTAAAAAAAGAGTCCCATTTCTAAAATGTTCCTGAGTTTGTTTATATACCTGCTAATCATAATTCTTGTTATCACTGCAAACTGCGATCCACCCAACCAATTACGATGTACACAAAGGGGTATATGCATCAGAGATTATTATTGGAACAGTAGTGATTTAAATTATTTAGTGATTTAGTGTTCTAAAAAGTCAGCAATTAGATCATAATACCCAGGGCTTTTTAGGTTTTCTGTGTTTTGAAGAGGTAAAGCTAAGTCCTGTACCCTTTACAGCTCTTAAAAATACCAAAGAGAACAACCTGTAGATAATTACAACAAATGACCAAAGTCCACTGCGGGTAATTCAATTAGTTTTGCATTATTTTGATGGAAAGCCTGTATTATCTCTGTTATCCAAGGGAAAGCTTAATTTCAGAAGCAAATGAATGATCTTAATATAGTTCTACGTAAATAGTTATAAAATGAATGTAAATTTCCAGGCATGAAAATTGGTGGAGTTGCTCAAGGTATATGCCAATAGTAGTGGATGGTGATATATATATATATATAAGGCTATAAAAAGTTTGGGTTAAATTCAGCTCTAGTATAAAAAATTTGCTGTTAGATCAAATTGATCTAAAGCCCTGAGATCACAAAGCTTGCAGGTAGATGCTTGACTGGAAGAATAGTGCTTATCTGTAAAATTAAGAATGTGGTTTAGTGCTTTTAAGGGCCTGCATTTTTTTGTCTGCTGTTATGAAGTAAAAAACAGTGAATAAATGAAAGTGGTTGAATCTTTCTTGTTACTGATCCTTAGAATATTTCTTTTTACATAACAAACTGCTTGTTGCATTAATGAACAGGCGAGACTTAGTAAGTTTTAAAGATTCTCAAAACCACCTTGTATTTGATCATGGTCATTTGAATGTTCATTTGATCATTTTTCTTTCCTTTTGCTTTAAGCTGCTCATTGTTTGGCAAGAAATAGCTACTTGTAATAAAGACATTTCCCAGGCTAAAAATTAACCTTTTAGAAAAACATTTGGTCCATTATCTTGAGTGCATCTTTTCTAAACTAAGTATATATAAGAGAACCATTTTCAGAAGAATACATCAGTTTCTAGATACCACTTCTGTTCATAACTGAAGCTATGAATATTAATTCCCTGACCTGAAAAACAGCCCTTGATGTTTTGGAAGAGGAAAATATCTTTTTATTTTTCACTGAAACCTTAAGAGAATGAAAGATGGGTGACATCAGCAATAGCTAGTCGGTGCTGCCAGACAACTGCAGCTCCTGTTTTGTGGCCTTCGCCTGAACCTTATCCCACCTCTACATCTGCTTGCCATACCGATTTCTGTCTTAATAGTCAAACAGGGCTTTTGTAGAGCAATAGCAGGAAACCTGATAGCAAGAGCTATTTGTAGTCAATGTCTTTGTCATTCCTTACAAACTCTAGCCATGTGATTTATTTTTCTTTTCACTTTCATATGTACTGGATAATATTAAGGCATGTATCATTTTTTAGCTATCCAAATAGTGTTAGTGTTGTGTTAGTGTTGTGTTAGTGTTAGTGTTAGTGTTACTAAGCCCATCTCTGACTTAAAGAATAAAGAAGTATATGCCATTCTGTGCACTGCAGAATGACAGGCCCTTTTGGAATCAGTGGACAAACTACAGTGGATAGAAGCCAATGCAAAGCAAGTTTAAAACTGTTATCATATATGTAAATTAGTATTGTTCTTTTCCTTTTATATCCTGTTTTGATTTTTCTTGAGCTATTTTTTTGATTTTAACTTCATCATATCAGAGGTGTTAGGTGATGTATATTCTTTTAAATATTCTAAAAACCCAGAAAATTTTACAAAGGGAAAAAGAGCTGATGGGACAGACTGGGATTTTTATCCTGTGAATAAGACGTCAAGAAAGAAATTTAATGTTCTTTTGTTAGCATTTATGACTTATTAATACAGTGGAAATTACACTCTTAAATTATTTTCACTGGTAGTCTTTTTGAAAACTGAGATAATTCGTTCAGCCTCTGTGTTTTGCAGGGACCTCCAGGAGCAACTGGTGCTGAAGGCAGACAAGGTGAAAAAGGTGCAAAGGTAATACACTCAAGAATTGTTTTAGAAGCATGGAAATGTGAATTATATATAAATGAAAAGTAAACTGCTTATCATGCATCAAGTTTGAAACTTATCGAAGTAATAATAGGTAAAACCCAAATTAAGACCCAGAGTTAGTAGCAATACATAATGGAGTACATGGTGGACTCTTACCAGTGCCGGTCCGACTTAGCTCACCCTGGCAGAAAAGCAAGATGAGCATGCTTTGCTGGCACCACATCTTCATATGAAGCTATCAACAATTTGTTCAGAAAATCATCCTGTGCAGAACACTGTTTCAGAATAGCTTAAAAAAAAATGGAGTGAGGAAGCTTTGCTTTCACTTTGCAGTTTGTGTTATCTCTACAGTGCCAAGCTTAGTCAGCTTTTCCTCTCTGACCTGCTGCTTATCTTCTTTCTAGGGTGAACCTGGTGCAGAAGGGGCTCCTGGAAAAACAGGTCCAGTTGGTCCACAGGGACCTGCAGGAAAACCTGGCCCAGAGGGTCTCCGGGGCCTTCCTGGCCCAGTGGTAAGCAAGCCGAGCACATAATAATATTTTAAATGTTTCATTTCTTGTACATGCTCTGGTAAAGCAAACTTTGTTTTTTCTAGGGAGAACAAGGTCTACCTGGAGCACCAGGTCAGGACGGCCCTCCTGGGCCTCTGGTGAGTACTCTTCCTTTCAGTGCCAAAACAGAAAAAGCATACTTTAAAATATACCATTAACATGTCTGTGCATTTACAGAGAAATGAATGTACAAGTCAGTTCTTAGCACAAAGTCACTATTCTTCTGTGCTGGTAAAATCTGATACACAACTGCCTTCTAATTTTACTGCTCTACTTTAGTAGGCAGCTGTGCTGAAAGCTGCTGAGTTATAGCAGGTAAAAAGTGAAGTAAAGCAGTGTAAAACCAAATTTTTTAAATCCCTGGGATAGAATTAAAAATAAAAGTAAAACGAATGAGGCTTACAATCACACAATCCACTTCTGTCTCCAATTCAGCAAAGCTTAATACCTTATATAATTTTGTTTCCTTAGCAGTGGGAAATTTTGTACATCCATTGATTGTAATGACTGCTAGGTTAGGAACATTATTCATAGCGTAAAAGTTCAGATTATATCTATTTCTTAGAAAAAGAAAAAAATTAAATCAGAAGTAGGGCCAAAAAGGGACTTCCACCAAAGTAAAAAATATGCTAGTTTTATAAAAATGGACAGTAACATCCTGTCTGTTGTTCATTGTGGCAGTCCCAGGAAATATAATCCATGACCAAAGCGTTTAGAAGGGTCTGACTGAACCAAGCTCCCAGTTTCTAGGGCATCTAGGTCATACCACAGCTCTGCTCTGTGTTAATAGTATGAATAAAGCAAGGGAAGATTGTAGATCACATATTATCAAATTAGATCATTGCTCCTATTTACACTTGCTATTTTAGTGCATTTTTTTCTAACAAGCTGAAAAAAACCAACACTGTGAGCACAAATTGCACAAAGTTGGTGTTCTTATTCGGCATTATGTCCAGAAATTCAAATCTAAACGATATGGCCACAGGATAATTCTTCACACGTCAAGCAAAGGTGATCCAGTTTAGTGGAAAGATCTCATATCTTTTGCTCTCCAAACTCACTGTAGAGTTCACCTGTATTGTCACATCTGAGTGACACATTTGGAATAAAAAGCTTTGGAAAAAATATGTACTGTTATAGTTTGATGGAAAAAAATAAACAAGCGGTGCACTCTCAAGGCATTCTACAGTTGGCAAGCAGTGTTCTCATATACTAAAAAAAATCCTCCCTGTTCTTTTGACCAGAATATACAATCAGATTGCTTTAGGAGAATATGGTAATAAGGGGCTATCCTTATGCAGCTCTTAAAGGGGAAAAGGAAGGAAAACAGGAAGTCTAAAGGAAAGCCTCTGTTCCTTTTCTTAGATGAACTTAGAGGATGCAAATGATACAGGTCCTTAGATAGCCTTAATACTGAAAATTTTTGTGCTTAAGCAATATATACCTGTACTCAAAATCTTTCCAAGAGCATTCCTGCCTCACCAGTGAGCACTCGGGCTCTGAACATCAGCTATAAAATTTTCATATCAGACTTTTCCAGTATATAAAAATTAAAGTGGAAAAAATGGGGAATTTCAACTGAAATGCTGCATAGATCAAGACTTTTACCTGAAACCAGTCTTTCACTTTCATGTACATATGTGGACATGAGCAATTGCCTTTTCTTTCACTGACTGAAACACTTTAATGAGTGAAAGTATTTGGGTATCCATTTACATTTCCAAAAAATGGTCCAAACATGCAACTTCTTAACCTAGAAGCAAAGAGTTTCAGAACACATATTTTTACGCCCCACACACTAGAAAGACTTTTTTCCAGTGAACAGTAATCTGGTGTGTACGTGTATCTATCAATCACTTCTGTGCATATAATTATAGACGGTATTACAATGGATCCTATATATAATTTAATTTTTCTCATTTCCATAGAAAACAGTAATAAGCAAATAACATACTGAGGAAATCTTACACTTACTCTTTGTTATTTGTTTTAACATTCTATTTTTGTCTAAAGTCTCATGAATAACATGAGATAACACGGATAACATAATATTGCTTGTAAGTCAGAGGTTGCAAACAATGAACGAAAAGCTGCAAGGAAAAGGACTTCACTGTGCTAAGCCCATGACAAAAACCTCTTGTCTCCAAAGAGTTTATGATGGGACCACCACCATAGTTCCCAATTTACAAATCAAATGCATGGAGGACAAATCAGGGAACTGAAAACGGATGATCTCAGTTACAATTCTGTGCTGAAATCTAAAAGCTGATGAACAATTACTCAGCAATAATAAGCTTTCCTTTCCCACATGTCAGTCACCAGAAGCCTCCAAATACACCATCAAAAGATCGCTCTTCCAACATTGGAGAGCTTAAATACTCTATTCATATCTGAAGCTGGGTGCAGTAATGAACTGTATATTCCCAAATGCACAGGCTTCCTGTCAGCTCAACAATAATTTTTTTTAGATGCATTGCTGCAACTTAAACTTTATTTTGAATTTTAAGAAAATAAAGTTTATATGTAAAAGTTGCTGAGGTTAGGTCTTCCTCCTTCCCTCCATAGTAGATTGCTATCAGGAGAAGGATATGAAAGCCGATTTGCAGTAGAGCACAACACACTGCAGGTGAAAAAGGTCTGATTCTGTATTCCAAAAGCTTAAAAATTTCAGCTTTCATTCATGAATTATGTATTTGCCTAGGCTTATGCATCTAATGATATCCTGAAGTAGAGATGGAAAGGATACGCACTGAATAATATTTTGTATGTGAAATGTTATCGCACTTTTGACTCTGTGCCAGGTTGAAAATGTCACTTATTACTGCTGTCCATACCATAACTTCAAAGATGTCCACTGCCAGCAGGAGTCCAGCAGTGGTGAGATACTGACTTAGTCTAGCAGCTCTATACCTAATGCATATATGTTCAGTGTGAGATTAATAGCCTTGGAGAAATAAATGCCTTTTCTGTGCTTCCATAGGCCCTGCATGGCCTGAATTTTTCACTTCATTCTGTACAAATTACACAAAACCAGCAGTCATTGTTATGAACCTCAGAAGATTCTTCACTCAAATCTCTCAAAATTCTTCTAAAATTATAAATAATGATGAAAACAATTCTTTTTAAAGCTGGAGGGAAAAAAAAGCAAACAACAAAACAAAAAAAACACCAAACAAGAAAAAAACAAAACAAAACAAAACATGACAAAACAAGACAGCCAAACAAAACAAAAATTTAAAAAAAAACAGACCAAGGAGATTTTAACAAATTTTATATATAGTCTTTTTATGTCCCATCTATCCAGCTGTATTTTTGACTATTGGTAAAAAAGCATTTTTAATGGATTGTTCTTATGACCCCAGTAAAGATTAAAAAAACCACTGTCAGAAAAAAGAAGCTTGTGTCAAGTTGTATGAATGAGATTATTCAGTGTTGTTTGCAAGGGATGTGCAGAAGGTAAGACCTATCCATGTGAATGTGTTTATCCTTCACAGTGGTTTCACAGGTAGCAAGACTGCAATGCAGTTTTCCAGTAGATTCTCTAAGCATCAGCTTACACTGGAACCACCTGGAAAAAAACATGTTTTGAGTTGTCCCCTCCCCACACCCACCAGAGAAATATGGAAGGGCTTGTAGAATGGTTCTGTTGACCCCTATGTTGGTTGTTCACAGCTCTGTCTCCTGGTCCAGCATTTTTCTATTTCTCTGGCTGCATGGAGTGATGTTTAGCAACAACTGCAGATAAAACTTAGAATAAAGAGCATTTTTTAACTCAGTTTCATAAAGTAACATATCTTTAGTGTGCTGCAGAAAGGATGGCAAATTAAAAATTGTAAGCTGCTCATATGATGTGAACCATATAAGTAGCAAAAAAAGGTATCAGTTTAACACCTCTGTAAGGTAGGAGTATTATTCCTATCCAACAAATAAGGAGTGGAGGCCCAAAGAGTCCAAGTCAGATCCTGAAAACATTTAGGATTGCCCAGACTAGTATTGCAAAACCTAAGTAACTTTTGTAACTAATCGCATTTACAAAAGTGACAAAGTAAATGTCAGTGGAAGTAGCACACCTACATCACATTAAGTAAGCTCACAATGTTGAGTAGAAAAGACCTGAATATATAGAAACTACAGATTTAAATTACTCATGGTCATACAGGAATTTCAGGTGGCAAGTCAAGGAAACCATAATCCCAAGATAATGCCCTGAGTGCTAAAACAAAATATGGGGTAGTTCTCCAACCAAACAATATTGAGGAACAGTTATTATAGAGCAACCTGATTTATATTCTGCAAAAATCTTACTGAGATGTACTAAAATGGGAAAAAACAAATTAAGAGGATACTTTCTGCTGTCTTATGAAAGAGAGGGCTAATATAACCAACCAAAATAAGGTACAGCAATTAAGGTGGAAGTAGTAATTGAAAGCATGTAATGTAACCACAAGTGAAATTAGGCTAATCAACCAAAAATTATTTGAATTTTTTTTAATATCACTTGCTTCACTGAAGTGCTCTTTAAGAATTTAGTTGATCCTCTGCTTCATAATTTTCTAATAATAAAACCCTTCATAGTTTTCTAATTATAAAGTAATTTAAATGCTACAGTATCATTATTATACCTTTTTAAACATACATTTCAACTTTATCTTGGGTCCTAAATCACATGCCATCAATTACAGCCATCAACCACTGAATGGCTCTGTACTTTGACTTATACTGCCTTTAAAAATATTCCAATGAAGCATGATCCATGCAATACGTTAAAACTTATTTTAACATTACTTCTCTTGATTTCTTCAGGGTCCACCTGGCTTGCCTGGCCTGAAAGGAGATCCAGGTTCCAAAGGAGAGAAGGTATACTTTACTCATTGGTCTTGCCTTTGTAATTTTGACCCAGTCTAAATGTCTGTATAAAATTAGCAGAAAGAAACAGTAGGATTTTTGTATCAGAAAGCAAGGCTACTTACCATGTCTATCAATCAGCTTCCTGTAGCTTTAATAGTAATCATGAAGTTTTAGACGTTTGATATCCTGGAGATATATAGAAAGAAAAAGATTACTGCCTGTCCAGTTATCTATTGACCATATGATTCTTCCTTGCAATAAAAATCCCAAAGACATTGATGTAAAAAGAAATGTTGGGTTTATGTAAACAAAGTAAGCAGAAATAAAAAGTATTTGAGATTGTTGTCTTAAAAAACAAAATGTAAATATTTAGCAGCTATAATGCTTTCTTTTGCAATAATGGATTGAGATATCCAGGATAACATTTTCTAATGGAGTCCCAACAATTTATTGATTGCTTGTATATCAGATAAAAACTGTATAGGGGGATGAATATGATTGTATCTTGTGAATTTCAGGTTTTGTTTCTGTGCTTGGATCAGCTCTTTATACAGCTATATTACATACAGAAACAAATGTGCAACTCTGTAAGATGCTTATAGCATCTAAATGTGAAAGTTGGGATGAAAATTGTACCCATGAGTATTGTTATTCCTGTATCAGTTTCAGTGCAGACTATGTGCACTTAGATCTCTTTCACTGAATAAGGGGTCACAGCTTGCAAAAGGCCAACCATTCTATCATTCTATGATCATTCTATGAACTAACCACAGTGAATAAGCTTTCAGAATAATTTGTTTCCAGGTTAATTGATGACTAGCAATAGTGATGATATTTGAAAGCTCTGATTTTTGTGTTTGCAAAGCACATTTACTTTATATATATATAGAGTTTTAACTATATTTTCTTCTGTCTTGTTTAGGGACATCCTGGTTTGATTGGCCTGATTGGACCTCCAGGAGAACAGGGTGAAAAGGGTGATAGGGGCCTTCCTGGCCCACAGGGATCTCCTGGAGCCAAGGGTGATGCAGTGAGTAAAACACACTTGTGTTTTCATTCAAGTTCCATGCACTTCCAGTCTTGCTTTTGAAAGACATAAAGATGCTATAAATATTTAACACCCAGAGCCTCCTGCTAGAGGTTAGAACTTTCCTAGGCATTGTAGAAACACAGTGAAGTTAAACAACTTAAAACGAGATCACAGTGTTTCAGAAGATGAAGGAAACATACGCACTTAAGTTAGGGATGAGATAAAAGTAGCACCACCAACCTCACCATGTTTATTAACTGTACTACCCAAAGTAGCTTCCTTCACCCTAGTTATTAAGCCATGTTTTAAGGCACTATGTAAAAAGTGAGGTTTCCAAGCCAGTCGTGATTGCAAGTACTGCAGTGTAAGAACAACTGTCGGATAATATTTTAAACTTACAACTATTTGGGACCCTAGCAAATGGTTAAATAAAAAGTCTTCAGGGTTGTATGCATAGTAGGACTACCTTTTTCACAGATATGCATTTTTTAACCCATATCAGTATGTAAAATACTTTAGTTCTTTACTCATGCTCTTACTCTTTCTTAGGGAATTTCTGGTCCTGCTGGTCCACTCGGACCCCCTGGTCCTCCTGGGTTACCTGTAAGTAATTTCATCCAGTCCCTCTGTTCAATACACTCCTGTGCTGTGTGGAATACACTCCAACTGTAGTTATATGTTCTCGCCCATAGGGTCCCCAAGGTCCAAAAGGGTCCAAAGGATCTAGCGTGAGTAGTTCTTCTCCATAGTTTTTGTTCTTTTACTTAACTTTTGTGTGTGATCATTTTTAACATTGTGTAGCATGGTGAACACTGCATTTCTTTCATTGCTTTATAGGGTCCTGCTGGTCAAAAGGGTGACAGTGGGTTACCTGGTCCACCTGGTCCTCCAGTAAGTAAGAACTCTTATCTGACATAAGTGCACATTACACTGACATGATGACCGTGTTTTGAGAAGGGTAGAAAAGAGTATTTGTAAACTTGAAGATCAGGAAAATAGTAACTGTGTTTTGAAAATTCATTTTTCAGGGAACAGAGATCCACCAGACACAGAAATACATTGTCTTCACTGAAAAAAACATTAGAAACTTTAAAAAACCCAACAAACACCACCACAAAGCCCTCCACAAACAAACAAAAAAACCCCTTGCAATAATTATTTAATGTGTTATACTGAAGCACAGAATATAGAATTATATTGGTTCTGTTTCTAGTAGTTCAATATAAAATGAAAACAGTCCAAATCTCAATGAAGTGTTTCAATTTCTTGAAAAGAAATACTGCTTTATAGACCCCAAGTGGAATTTTACAGTTTTATCATAGGAAACATCCACAGTTTTCATTTGTCATAGGCTACGCCTGTGCTTGAGGGAATTGCCAGGGATAAAGAGGCAATGGCAAATCCCTTACGTGAGGGCAGCACACTCTTCCCCAAGCAAGAGTTTAGAAAGAATTGTTTAGAGTACAAAAATGGTTTGCCCTTCTACAATCATCTTTTTCTGCAAGTAAATCAAAGCACATAGGCATAAATCTGACACTAATAACTGAAATAAAGAAATAAAGAATTTGAAGAAAACCAATTGAAAGCACCCTCAAGCCACACTTTGTGGTCATCCTCTACATATTTATGCAGCAGAAAAGCAAACAGAAAAGGTAACCAGATGTGTTGTTTTCCACTCAGGGTCCTCCGGGTGAGGTAATCCAGCCATTGCCAATCCAGTCACCCAAAAAGACAAGAAGATCTCCTGATTACATGTTGTCTGATGCTGGTGATAACATTCTTGATTATTCCGATGGCATGGAAGAGATCTTTGGTTCATTAAATTCACTGAAGCAAGACATTGAGCATATGAAGTATCCAATGGGCACTCAGAATAACCCAGCCCGAACTTGCAAAGACTTACAGCTCTGCCACCCAGACTTCCCAGATGGTATGTTACTACTGCATGACAAAGGCAAACAAGGCTGAAGTTACTGTCTACTAAGATAATTTGGCAGAATAATTAATTATTGGTAGATTATTAATACAGTTGCTCAATGAAGACAGTCTCATTAAATCCATTTTTGTGGGTATAAAAGTTTACAAAATGTAAGTAAGAGATGTTCTCATGGTAAAAGCCAAGATTTTTTAAATACATAACCTAATCTGGTTTTAGATTTAAAACTTTTAATAGTTCTAAATAAAAAACAGTTATTGTTTTGAAAGGTGGGCCTTGCATTTTCAAAACTATCCAAACAGGGATGAAGGATTGATGCTATTTAGATCAATGGAAAGTAAAATCACAAATGTCAGCATGCTGGGATAGCCAATAGCTTCTTTTAAAAGAAATAATTTTTTTAGTAGCTGTATACTTTAGGTTAGCATAATAATATAAAATAGCATTGCTATTATATGAGATTTATTACTGATTATGATTTTTTAATTATTTACTATTCTCTTACCCTTAGAAACAATAATTTGTTCTACCACATGACTACTGTTTGTTTTGTATCATTCAGCAAATAAACATGCAAGTTTCTTTGGTGCTGTTTAATGCTACTAAGTACTAGCTTAATAAAAGGCAGAGTAGTATGAACAAGACACTCTGTTCTAAAGAACTATCTTGATTTAATTATTCTTTGTTGTTTTCTTCTTTTTTTCCTAACTGAGTTTACCCCTCTGGAAAAGTTTAAATGAGAGCCACCCTTTACAGAGTTTTCATCCTTTCATATTTTTTTTATTGCAGTAGATATTTTTCCCAGTTCAGAGCAATATTTTTCTGTTTTTAAATGGGAGGAAAAATAGATTTTGACAGTTTAATAATATTTTATTGCTTTCACTCTAGACAGATAAAAACAGATGGTTACCTTGAGGAGCAGTTAAGCAGTGTATGTGCTATATGAAAAGTACATACTTTACAATTCAGTACCTCCATAATAATGAATGGTTTTTATAGAACACATTCACTTTCTTCATTTACCAGTATTTCCTTATTATTTGGAGCTTTCTTCAAATAAAAAGTAATGTTATTTTTGGTAAAATAAAAGTAAATGTATTCATTAAAATACAAAATTCTCCATGGACAAGACTTGGAGGTAGGAAAGACTGTTTTCAATAAATACAGCCTGAATCAATAGAATTTTAAAATACCATAAATGCTTTTTCTATGTGCTGTATTCAAAAGACAGAACTGGGGAGAGGATTTGTCATGCCTTTTTGAAACCTCTAGTATTTGCTTAAACTAGATTAGAAAAGTAGTGTCAGAAAATCATTTGCTGTCACGCTGTGAAACTAGCTGGAGATAAGGACCCACATCATCACAGAAATCATCATTATAATTAGAATGGTAGATTTTAAAAAGCACTGACTTTCAATGGACCTTGGATTGACTGTGGCTTTCTTTCATCTGCAGCCTTCATTCAGCCTAGCATTGTAGGGCCCAAATTACCAATCATGCCAGTCGGATAGGACTGCTGAAACTATGGGAAGACTCATGCAAATTTTAACTGTCTTTCCCACTATGCCACCTAAGCAAGCATTGGTTAAGGTGTTTTTATCAACTGAAGCAGCCTGATGTTTCACTAGTGTTGCAGCTTCATAACCCAGTAGTAAAAAACATCTTTGCTTGAGGTGTATTTCTCTCAATGGAAGCTTTAGGTACTTGTGCCAGCTACAACCTCCCCAAGTCCTGTATGACCACCTTTTTATGTAGATAGGTGTGCAAACAACTCCATTTTTGCTCTCTGAACTAAGCCATAGCTTATTTCTGCATAAGGCTGCCTCTGCTCTGTTTCTGATAGTGCTATCACCACAGGTACAAATTATCCTTCTAGCTGTAATACTGCAATGGCCAAACTGTTGAGATCTGCAATGTATGCTCACACGTAATGTCCTTCCTCCCCTAGACTGAGGTCTCTGCAGTTACTCCACAACCTTAGCAGTATCCTGCAATAAAGTCATAGTTTGAAGTAAAACTAGACAAAAACAAAAGGATGCAGATAAAAATAGACTTTGATACTAGTGGTGTCTTTCCTAAACACCAACAACTGCAACAAATCACAAGGCAGGAAAGAAAGGGTTGCCTTCTTATCATTCAGATAACTTTGTAACAAACTTTGGAGGACCATTAGGTACCAGTAAAACCTGGATCTGCCTAATACCATTTCCACTACATAAAGCAAATATTTTCTCATTTGTTTTAGGGGAATATTGGATTGATCCTAACCAGGGCTGTTCTGGAGATTCCTTCAAAGTATACTGCAATTTTACAGCAGGTGGAGAAACTTGCATCTACCCAGATAAGAAATCTGAAGGAGTAAGTACTAATCTGTGTTTTCAGTTGGTTGTTTACAAATCCTACCATTCTGTGGCAATGTTGAACTAAACAGGTTAATTACACTTCACATTTTCATATATCTGTCTTTCTGATTACACTGAAATTTGCAGAAATGTGAATGAAGTGGTAAAATGGTACATAAACTGTATTTTCACCCTCTTGCTTACATAAGGAGTCTATGCATCTGCTTGCTAACCTTTCACTGCACTGCAGAATGCAGCGTAGCTGTGCAGCCAGTTAAAGCATAATCTAGCATTTGACACCTAAAAGCTAAACTCTTACTGTGCTTTTCTTCTGGGTTCATTTATATCTGTTCATTTATACCTATACAAATTAGATGTAAACTGCTATCTATGTGTGGCCTCACTCACTGTTATAAATTACTGCTGATGGGTCATGTGGTGTAGAGGAAGGCTTTCTAAAACTTTGCCTAAATGAGAGAGATCTATTAGCATACACAGCAGTGAAAACTAATTATACACTCTTCACAGGAAAAATTTGTATCAGCAGTTTACCTGAGTCTTAACAGATGATAACAGTCTCCTTTAAATAGAACTAGTTCTCTTTATTAGCTACCACCTTGATTGAAAGTTACTAATTTGAAGGCACTCTATACAAGAAAAACAGCCTATTTTAGACCTTTGAAGAGGCTGAGGTCTCAGAAAGAAGAACCATTCTTTACTGTATGATGTGCAATTTTCCCAGGTAATGTAAAACCCTCATATCTGTTAACATTTGTTTTAAATAGTTCTATCTCTGCTGTTTTACCACACAGGTCAGAATTTCGTCATGGCCAAAGGAGAACCCAGGATCTTGGTTTAGTGAATTTAAGCGAGGCAAACTTGTAAGTTGTCACTGCAACATAATAGTTATTCACAAATAAAGTACATGTTATCAGTGATCAACAGATCTTAAGGAATTTTATAAATATTTAGGTAATGAAAAGACCTTTCAGCCCTAGCCTTTTTTTGTCCTAAATAGTAGCACAGCTATATGGCCTCTTGCCACTGAACAGCAGATGTCTGCTTTGTATAGTCCTACAATGATCCCAGTGGTCACCCTCACAGCTGATGGTGAGGATCTGGCTTCTGGCAGACCACCCATCACCACTGAACCTTAGTAAAGCAGCTGGAGCACAGATCCTCTGCCCCATTCTAGGTAACTGGAAATGTACTGAGTGTGCAAAGACAAGACTGCAGGCTGACCTAATTTTATGATTAACTAAAACAGAATCCCAAAGAGATTCTGTTGGCTTACACAGTATGATAGAATTCATTCATTCATTCATTAGAATGAAGATAAAATATGTAGTTCTTCATCCTAAATATATTGCTACAATATGAAAATCTACTTAGTGAGCCATAATTTTATTGAACTTTAAAACTCCATAAAATGTTATCTGTTGGTTGATTATTTTTTTAAGGACAGTTATGGGGTTCTTTTGTCAACAATAGTTTTATTTTGCATTTTAATAAATATTTATGTAACTTATATTTTCCAGCTTTCCTATTTGGATGTTGAAGGCAATTCCATTAACATGGTCCAAATGACATTCCTTAAACTACTGAGTGCCTCTGCCAGACAAAATTTCACTTACAACTGTCACCAGTCTGTAGCTTGGCATGATGCATCATCTGACAGCTATGACAAAGCACTAAGGTTCTTAGGATCAAATGATGAAGAAATGTCTTATGACAACAATCCTTACATCAAAGCTCTTCACGATGGCTGTGCAGTAAGTAGAGATACAGAAGAATCTTTACAAAACCAACCTGTCAATTAAAGTACAAAACTAACAAATTCAGTTTTTTCCAGAGCTTTCTTCTGAGAAAAACTTTCTAAACAGTTTAGTTTTAATAGACTGCCTTTTAAGAGATTTTTAACTAGAGTACACTTGTCCCTTATTTAATTTTCATATGTATTTAAAAAAAACAAACATAAAACAAGCAACAGAAATGGAGCAAACCTGGTGTCAATACAAGTCATCGGCACCAATGTGCTGAAACTTGACTATCTGCTAGTATGAGCACAGTATAAGAGAAGAACAGAAGCAGAAAAGCATAATCAGAGCAGGCAGCCCATCAGCAGAATATATTTATACTCAATACACACACAGATGGAATATTTAGTGAATACAGTAAAAACATGTATGAACTAAGCCATATGTATTTACCCAAACATAGTGAATTAATTGCATATTTTGATATATGACTTTGTATCTCCTTTTCTCACTTTTTGGCAGTCAAAGCCAGGCAAAGTTTGTGGACTGTACCTTTCAACATCCTCTCCTAGCTCAGCTAAAACCCCTGACGCTGTCCACACTTGCATCACCTCTCTGACCACCTCTCCAGCAGGGTCTTTGTAGGCATAGCAACCATTACCTCTTCAGAAACAGAATGGTGTGTGGAGAACACTTTGAAACAGTTAGCAAAGGAGCAAGTGACAGTGGAAGCCTCATTAATTATTTTAGGTTCTGATATGGCAGCATTTTGGAGGCAGTTCCTGAGAAGTCACTGACAGAGAATCAGACACCTGAAAGTGCCAGAATACATACCTGGCTCTGAGGCAGAGATGCAGCTCAGGTAGATGCAGAGTCACCTCCCCTCAGTAATGAGATTCTAATACATAACTGCTTCATGGCAGCCTTTCTATATGTCCTGTGTATTTATTTTGCTCTTGTTATCCACAGTGAGTGGGTGAGTGTAGAGCTCCAGAGAGAGCTGGAGGTGATGTAGGGTGTAGCTCCTAACATTAAACTGAGAACACTCAGACCTACCAACTTTGATGCTGATCTAAACTCTAAGACCCTGGCATAGCTGAAAGGGGTCTCAGCAAGGTATGAGCAAGGTGCAGTCCTGGTAACTAATGATGACTTGGCTGGATGATATTTAGAGAAGGTAGAGAGCCTTTGTTAGGAAGTAAAGGTGTGCCTTCAAACCTGGTTTCTAAGTGCATCAATTGGCAGTCCTGTCAGACTACTACTTTCATGTTCAAGCAGCTGCTGTAATATTTTGTGAGACAGTTACAGTCTTTCTCCTTAGAAGTGGATCTTTCTTCCATCTTTCAGAACTAATTAGTGATTACTTCCCAAGGTAGACATGCGCACTGCTATGAGAATATTACTATTTATGAAATAGTATAGATGTGACCTCAGAATTGTCTAAGAAACATTAAATGTCTTAGCTAGCTTTTCATTTCTAGGCCTATGTTAGTAAGTCAAAAAGCTATGGGCCCATCTCTTACTAGAATCTAAAACACTCCATGTCACATTTTAAAAATAAAAACTCAAGAAACCATAAACTTTAGAGTTTATAGTATTTGATGCATGAGGGGTCAATAGTTCAGAAGTTCTACACTTCAGAGAGAACCTATGAAGACCTACAGAACATGCTTATTGCTCTGATAAATAACCACGTATGCTGTTTTTTCCTTCTTTTTTGAACAGTCAAGGAAGGGCTATGCAAAGACGGTGATCGAAATCAACACACCCAAGATAGACCAAGTGCCTATAGTTGATGTGATGATCAATGACTTTGGTGATCAGAACCAGAAGTTTGGATTTGAGGTCGGTCCTGTCTGCTTCCTTGGTTAAGTTTAAGGCAAAATCAGATCAACAAAAATGTTGCACTTTGGTGCTACCAACCCACTTCATGCCACATGCAAGTTTTGAACAAGGATGGCATAGAAAATATGTCTTGCTGTGTATGTATGTCTTATCTAGAAAGTAATTGTTGCCCTTGTAGGGCCAGAATCACATGACTTAAACTTATTTTGCAAAGATGCTGTGGCACAGACAGACAACATAGAGCTCACTTTAGGAACACCCCCCTTTGGATTCCTTTGGTGCTGTAAAAAAATGAACAACATGGTGCTCCTTCCATTACAACAAAGAGGTGTTAAGAAAGTGTTTAATAAACTGTAATTATTCTATGTACAGTACTATACTGTTATTTTTCTGTCCATTTCCAAAACTTGCATGTGTCTCTGAATTGCATCTGGCTCTTATTTTATAATTACAAAACTACATTGTCAATACTGTGTATGTATTCTGAAAAAAAATAAAGCTGTAATTGCCAGTGAAGCCAATTCCATTTCTGATTAATAATAAAATCCCTTTGTATATATAGTTGTTGAAAAGCTTTGTTATTTGAAGTCGCCAACAAAACTTAAGGTGGCAAAACTGGAAGATCTTGAGCAGCACACTCAGACAACTCTTTTCTGCTGATATCAGTCTGTGATGATGAATTTCAGTAATGAAAGCACCTTCAAAGGTGCTGTGTTCCATGGTGCTATACCTCAGACTTTTTATTTTCTTTTCTAGTTCCATAATTTCATAAGATATCTGTATATACCTAAAATAAACAAGTTTATATTTTTGGGTGGGGAAAATATGAAAGAAAAAAACCAACCATCTGTGTAAGAGATCTGTTAAAAATCTGTTGGAAATAAGTAAATCATAGAGCGTTCCTTTTTTTTTTTTAATCTCATTTGAATTTGTTACTGTTGTGCTTATTTGGTCTGCATTAATATTAAGACTGGATTCTAAACAGTTATTTATGGATTTTTGCAGTGTTTACTTAGAGTTTTATGTAAGCAATGATGGATGTTTGCTTCCTGAACTGGATACTGAAAGTTCCACAAAATGGTCCTATACAATATTTACCCATCCCATTAATATGAATGGTTTTTTCCTGTTATTTCACCTGAAGGCCAGAGATGCAATATGTCTAGGTCATGTGATTCTACATAGTTGCTGAGCAACATACGAGGGGACTGCTTCCTACAGAGCTGTCTTTGACCCAAACTGTTACAATTTGCTATTCAAATCTCACAAACACTGTTGGTTTGGCCTTCCCTCTGAACATTTTATTCAGGTAGTCGGAAGTAGAAATTACATTGTAGCTTTACAACACAAATCCTTTTGTAATTATGTTTCATAATATATGTAAGACTTGAAAAGAAATGTTTGTTTCTATTTCTTATAAATTGTTAAATTAAATAGTACTAGTTTCTGCTGGCTCATTTCCAACTGGTATTTTCTTATGCACGTTTATACACGTAAAAGTGAGATTTCAAAAGTCAACTTCTTGCTGTTCATATTTTCTTTTATTTTTGAACCAAAGTTTGTAACTGTCACCTCAAAGAGGAAAATACAAATTTTATTAATAAAATCAAGTCTTGTCTACCTGGATTGGTCATTCTCTTTTTTCAAAGTCCAGAACTGACCCACTTCACTCTGCTTCCAGACCATCCGGACTCAAAAAAAATTGCATGTCCTGGCAGGCACTGGGCAACAGCACTGGGAAGAGAAACGTTAATAGAAAAGATGCTGATCTGGCCACGGGCAGTATGCAGCAAGGCTGATAATTTCACATTCAGTTTGTGTGGATTTGTAGCTGCAGCAGTCCACATATGCTACCATGCTACCATCATCCAAGATTATAGTACCCCAGTATTTTTTCCTTAGCCACTCTCTTACAACCTACAATGGTTGAGTGTTTCACAATCTCATGCTTACCCTTGTAGGCAAATGACCCTGTTTATTAAGAGGAACTGAAAGGCAAGAACTAGACCAAGACCTAGAAACAAATGGAACACAAATTTTCTAGTACCTTATTTTAGATAGAGGAACCAGAAGTGGTGATGGGTCTGAGCTAGAGACATGACAGATGTCACCTGGGGCCTCCTCCAAAGTGGCTTGTATTCTTTCAATCTAACTGTTCTTTATGAACTCTGGTTATGTCCATGATAGCTGTGAAAGAAGCTCCAATAAGTTTGGCAGAGGAGCAGCTACTTTCTGCTGCGCAAGTGGGCTAGGTTAAGTTAGGAGCTGAGCTGTTCAAACCTATCTTAGAGAAAAAAAACCCACAACAAAACAAAACCAAAAACTCAACACTTTTGAGTCAGGTGCTTTAACAAGTGGGCTAGGTTAAGTTAGGGGCTGAGCTGTTCAAACCTATCTTAAAGAAAAAAAACCCACAACAAAACAAAACTAAAAAACTCAACACTTTTGAGTCAGGTGCTTTAGGCTGATTTGGGTGAAAAATAAAGATGGCTGTGATTTGGCAGAGTCAGGATTAGGCTGCAGCAGAATGGTGTTTCTAAGAGTGCAATGCTGTATGCAAGAAGCCAAATGAACCCAGGTCTTTTCCAGCATTAGTCAAAGTATCTTGCATGGTTCATGTCGACAGCATCGCAAAGGAGGAAGTGAACTTGAGTATTCCATCCTTGAAAGATTTAAATACCTGCCAGTGAAAATGAAAACAGTGACATAATTGGCTTCATAAGGAAAATAACTTCATCCCAGTCAAAGCTATAATGCCAGCCTGTGGTTATTAAAGCTCAAACACTGCAGCTTTCTCAAAAATCCAGCACTGCTGGAGCATTAAAAGGGAATTCTACAATTCAACCCCAGCAAAACCAGGACAGAAGACACACAGCAAACACAAGCCGATAAATATTACAGATTGAGGCAATGTTCTGTCCAGAATAACATAGACATGTGACAGATTTAAATGATAAGCTACGACTATAGAGGTTCAAAGTGCCCTGTGTACAGTTTCTTCTCCTGTCTCTCACTTCCTCTTTCTAATCCAGGATAGGGCAATATCAACTCATCATGACTGGCACATCTCTTGGAACACTTCATGAAATAAGGTAGATCATACTTTTTTCAAAGTGACAGTCATTATGGCTAACATCAGCAGTCGCCTTGTGACACAAAAAGCTACCACGTGTTTCAAAAAAATAAGCAGTTACTTACCCAAGACTCCTTCCCTTGGGAACAGCTTTGGTAATTTAAAAATGAAGCTTCACATGCTAATGACTGGTAGGAAATGCTTTAATAGCAATCAGTTTTCTATTACGAGCACACTCATTTTTCTGTGAATGAACAACTAAGGTACACACACCAAAAATAACTTGAAAATTACAAAGACAGGATATTAAATGTCATGTCTATTATGTTTACCTGAAAAGGTGTCTTATTTGTGTTCCTTTTCTAGGCACATAAAGTATCAGAGGCTCATTGTTAATTAGGTGAAAAAGCCCAAGCCTCCTAAGAAATATTATGGCAAAGGAGCAGACTGCTCTAAAGCTATTTATTCGTTTTGTTTTCAACAAGGACATCAAAGATTATTACAATGAGGAAGGCTGCAAGCACACAGATACTCAGACATGCTGCTTTAGCTAAAATTGGGCTTGTTTTTTTCTCCTCTATGTGAATGCAGGCTCTGTTCTAATGAGAGGATGCAGCCAAAGCCTACAATGCTGCCATGGAGATGTTTTGTCTAGATTCTCTCAGCAGCTTTGCCAGACCTTGACTGTTTCCAGTTTCTCAAGTGTGGAGATGTGATCTCTGTCAAAACACATCTAACTTCACTGAGACAGACAGGAGTTGCTAAGAATTCAGCAGCAGGACTGGGATCTAAGTGTCTTCTCTACGCCCTGATATGATCTAAGAAATTACTTTTTTTAACATCAAAAAGACATTGTAGCTAAATCTTGCTGAAGCATAAAAGAACTCCAGCTTGCACGGTGATTAAAATGCAGATGAAAATTAAAATTGAGTCCATCCAGTGTGCTATCATTACATTATACACTACTAAAATATAATTTATATAAATAGAAGATGATCAAGGGCCTAGCCAGTGAGCTGTGATAAAATCCATAAATAAAAACTCGATGGAAGTTTTTACTTCCCTTCCTTGATGGTGCCGGTTGTTCTGTTCAAGTCCAGAGTTTACTCTCCAAGAGAAACCTGGAGTCTGTTATCTGATTTCCTTTAATCATCATTTGGTAATTTGCATTTTGGTGGATGATGCTGACTAACCGATTGCCTTTCAATGTCTAGTACACGTGTCATGAGCTATTACAATCTAATAGTAGCAGTAGTGTTCAATTTCCTGATAGTCAGCCGTTCTGCACCCAAGTGACTAACGTTCTTGCTTTTTCTCATGCTCAGCTGGTACTTTCAAAGCAACATAAGGCTCAGCAAGGATAAATCACTCAACCTCCTTCATGATTTTAAAACAAAAAATATCTGCCACAAACAGCATCAATAAGCCCTCAACAGATATCAGGAAAATAAGAAATTAATTACTTTTCAAATGACACAGTAAGCAGAATAGCTGATTGAACATTTATCAGCATTTCTCCTTCTATGTGCATTAAAGAAGATTGGATGTAAGTACCTAGCAGAGTTCTTTAATAGCTTGCAAAGCCTCTTCTAATTTTACGCTCCAGCATTCACTTTATGCCTTGCATAGTTGTCAGTAAAATTATTTGCAAGAAGAAAACCAAATTAATTATTCTTTAGCCTCAGAAATTCTTTAAACTGGATCTTCTGTGATGTTTTCACTACAGTAAGGATGTGATGGGAAATTAAAAGACTCTTTCTGCGTCCACAAGGCTGGGAGAACAAGGCTGCCCGGAGTCCCCAATGACCCAGAATGAACACAGAAGCCTCCCGCTCAGTTCGCATCTCACCCTGAAATATCTCCTAGCCAGAGATCTTGAAAAGGGCCACGGCACACCATGTGCTGCAGCAGTGCAAGGCCATGGTGTTCTGCAGCCTGCAGAGACCCGGCCTGCAAGCTCTGTCGTTTCCTAGGATGAGTATAAAGAAAACATATCTAGAGAAGAACCATAAACCTGAGTTTTGAAACTGAAAATATTAACTAAATGTCAAAATTGTGAGCAGAACTCAGGGTGTGACTAACAAATAACAACAGTCCAGTACAATCAGTGTTTCTGAAACAGAGATAATTTGCTATTTGTTTACTCTGAGTCTTACACAGCAAGCATAGTGAAGTCAGCGTGGGTATTATCACCCACCTGCATGACTTCCAGAGCAGGCTATGTTCATTACAGCTCATCAAGTACGTTAAGCGAATGAGAAGTGGAGAGATTTAAAATGAAGTTATTTTTATTGACGTGAAAGCTTCCTTCTGTCAAATATTAACAAAAAAGATAAGGTTTTATATTTTATTCATACAGTCTCTTGAGCCTATGATTTTTTTATTAGAATATCATCTCCGTGGCAGCTCAGGTGAGAAAGTAGCTCTGCTTTGTGGTCCTGTTGCCCAAATTGACTCACAAGATAACAGCACAATGCAAAGGCTCAGGCTCTGGAGAACGCATAAATACATAATCTTCATAACATTCAGTATTCAGTAACTTTCTGATTTGGATGTATAGGGATCACTTATCTCTTTGTTATTCCTCAGAAGGATTTTAGAAATATCCACTTTGCTCTAGACCTGCAAACTTGCTCAATGCACAGATATTGAGATCAAAGCTGTTTACTGTCAGAAAGAGCCAAAAAAAGAATTCTAATTTGTCAAAAATTTCTACAGCACTCCCATTTCTGAACAGAACAAAGTATGC